TTTTAATTATGTTAAGGTTCATGAATTCATAACATCCACTTAAAGACATGTTACAACTCTTGATCTCTATTTACTTGTTACGTTATGGAGGTGAGAGTTTATTCTTTCTAGAGTTTTTCTCATGGAAAACAATACAAATAGTGGAATGCTGTGTGCATTCTAAACACGAGAAAATACAAAGAGTGATCAACCAATACATTTTTCTTTATTTAGTATAGTTTCTCTTGTTGAGCCGAAACCATCAAAAGACGGCTTGGGTTTTAAAATGTGGAGAATACCAACGACTCTAATAGTCACCGAATTAAACATACGAGCAAGTTTCGCTTCGGCTACAAAAGGTTAGTCATATATTTATGAGAAAATTACTCCTGACACGATACAACAGAACTTTTATTGCATTTGTACGAGACTATCATTTTTATTTGTAAAATTACTAAGACTGGTTTATTCTTATTGGTATTTGTTACCTAACTTCATAGGATTTAATATATATCTCTCCAGTTCTGCTCACCTGCCCACGGTGGGCAGTGCCCACCACTTTATTTTATATGAAAAACGTATTTTGTTCAATTAAACCGTGGGCAGGGATCAAAATTTTATATCTCTCTCCCTCTCCCATTTCTTCTTCTTCTTCTACTTTTCTTCATTTATTTTTTTTTTCTTTTCTCTTTAATTGGTTTTTTCTCTCTTTTTTTTCGGTCACGATTTATCTCTATCTCTTCCTCTCTCATTTTTTCTTCTTCTACCACTATTTTTCATTTATTTTTTTTCTCTTCTCCTTTAGTTGATTTTTTTCTCCTTTTTTTCGATCGGTCCCGATTACGGGACTCGACGGTTTGCCGATGCCGATATTGATTTCGCGACACTTCATTTCTCTATTAAGATTGTAGGTGATCGTCAATATTCTTCGTGAAAACCTCGAGGGTCGGCGAGCCAATCAAGTGATCGGCAAACCTAATCCTACGATCTTGGGCCGTTCGCAAGAGGGTTTGTGTGCCTTGTGAGTCTTATTCCGTATTTTGGGCCGCATTTTAGGTGGAGTTTTGTGTTAGGATGTTTTTAGGTACAACATATGTAAATACATAATTAACTTATTTATTATACAAGATTAGGATAACAATACAAAATTATATTTATTAAATTATAGCATGTCCATAATATAATTTTAGTATTATCATAATTAAAAAAAAAAAAAGTAACATTAATATAAGTAGTAGTTGTTTTTTAATATAAAATTGTGATAAATGATAATATAGGATGAAATGTCATTTCATTCAGACTTTATTCTTTCTGCATACCAAAACATCAACGAAAAAATTGTTTCATTTATTTTCCATAATCATTACATTCTTCAACTCATTTAATTTCTATGAAATTTTATTCTATTATATCAATCATATCATTAAGTTTGTGGAATAATGTCAAACCAATAATTGTACAGAGCATTTGTATATACGACACTCGATTGTTTAGAATGTAAGTTTTTTAGGGAGTTGATTGTTACACAAATTCTTAGAACAATATCTCAAGTACTCGTGAGTTTATTTTCATTTAGTTGTAAGTGTTCAATTTTCAGTATTTATAAAAATGGTGACTTTGAACATATTTGTATGTGTAATAAAAAGTTAAATCATACGGGACAATTCTGTTGGAGTTTGTAACCGTTAAATCAACTATCCACGACAGCTACATGATGATCTAACAGTTACAAATCCTGACGGAATGGTTCCGTAACGGGACGGTATCATTTTCCCATAGTTAGATGCATGACTACTAAATTAAAAATTAAACTAAAGTATCTGAATCTTTCATTGGCGGCGGAACTACTAATAGAATCATACTCTTTTCAGAATGGTACTGTTTGAGTGAACGACAATAGTTGCTCATTTTTAGAACCATACTCTTTGAGTGACAGTAGTTTCTCGCTCGCCAAACAGCCTTCCCAACTTCAAATGTATATATAAACGCTATCATATCATCCAAAAAATAACTAACAATAATCATCCGATCCGATGGGAACCCTAACTGCAACAACAAATCCTCCCAATGAGCAACCTCCGCAAACCGCCGAGCTCCCCACCACCACCGCCGCCGCCAAAACTACCTCCGCCAAGAAGCTGACCTTAATCCCCCTCATATTCCTCATCTACTTCGAGGTCGCCGGAGGTCCCTACGGCGAGGAGCCCGCCGTCCAGGCCGCCGGACCCCTCTTCGCAATCCTTGGCTTCCTCATATTCCCCTTTATATGGAGCATTCCGGAAGCACTAATCACAGCCGAGCTCTCCACCGCATTCCCGGGAAACGGCGGGTACGTGACTTGGGCCGACAGCGCCTTCGGGCCCTTCTTCGGCTCCATGATGGGCACCTGGAAGTTCCTCAGCGGCGTCATCAACATCGCCGCCTTCCCCGCCCTCGCCATCGGCTACCTCAAGCGAATTTTCCCGATATTCGCCTCAGGAACCCCTCGAAAACTAGCCATCCTAATTTCAACCCTTTTACTCTCCTTTCTCAACTACACAGGCCTCTCCGTGGTCGGCCATTTCGCCGTCGTATTAGGGATTGTCTCCTTAGCCCCTTTCATAATAATGTCCCTAATCGCAATCCCCCAAATCAAACCCCATCGATGGATCAGTTTAGGTCAGAGCGGGGTCAAGCACGATTGGAACCTATTCTTCAATACTCTCTTCTGGAATCTCAATTTCTGGGACACCGCCAGCACCATGGCCGGCGAAGTGGACAAGCCACACAAGACCTTCCCATTAGCCCTGCTCTCCGCCGTGATATTGACTTGCTTGGGATACCTAATCCCTCTGGTGGCCGTGACTGGGGCCGTCTCGGTTGACCAGAGCCTGTGGGAGGCCGGGTTCATGGCGGACGCGGCCCAGACAATCTCCGGCAAGTGGCTCAAGTTCTGGATTGAGATCGGGGCCGTGTTGTCCGCAATTGGGCTTTTCGAGGCCCAATTGAGCAGCTGCTCGTACCAGATGCTGGGAATGGCTGACCTGGCGGTGCTTCCGAGATTCTTCGCGTTGAGGTCCAAGTGGTTCAACACGCCCTGGGTCGGGATTCTGGTTTCGGCTGTGATTGCGTTGGGGGTTTCGTATATGACTTACACGGACCTTGTGGCATGCGCAAACTTTCTCTACAGTTTGGGGATGCTGTTGGAGTTTGCGTCTTTTGTGTGGCTGAGGAGGAAGTACCCGCTGATGAAGAGGCCTTACCGGGTGCCGATGGGCCTGCCGGGGCTCGTGCTCATGTGTTTGGTGCCGTCTGGGTTTCTGATCTACATAATGTCCATAGCCACCAAGACGGTATACCTGGTGAGTGGGGGTATGACTGCGGCTGGGATTATGTGGTATTTTTTGATGAGGCTTTGCAAGTCAAAGGGATGGTTCAGGTTTAGGAGGGTTGACAATGGGGTCGACACTTCCTGATGCAAGTCAAGTCAAAGGGATGGTTCAGGTTTCTATTTATGTTCTGTTTTTGTTGTTCATTTTGGAGTAGGAGGAGTTCGTAGGACTTGGTTGATTGATGAAGTTAGTTATGCTTCAAGTGTTTTTTCGGTTTTAAGATATTTTGTAAATAAATAATATTCTGTGTGCTATAGACAAGTGGAATTTTACCACTAGTAACATTATTATTTTATCTTATCATGATACTAGATGTATTCCGGCTGTGCACGCACAGCCGACCCAAATATATTCTATAATCAAGTGAACTTTTGGTGTAAGTTTAACATATAATTGCGTCATACAACTATAAAGTATTAAAAAAAAGAAACCCTAAAAAATAGTTTGAATTAAAGATATAGATAAGTATATAAAAAAATGAAACCCTAAAAAAAATACTTTAAATTAAATAAAGAGCATGGAGAAAAATATTCGAACATTTTTTTGCTTCTACAGAATTTTTTCTATAGGTTGTTCATTTAGAAAAATGCTAAGGAAATCAAGAACTGCGTAGTAAACTCTAGCCTTGAAAAAGGGTCAATGCATGTTTCACTTGCTTAGGATTTAAAATGCCTCATCCTTGGGTATTGTTGACAGGAAATTTTCTTTACCTAAACTTTATGATCCATCATCCTCTTCTTGCCATTAGCATCCCCCATCTGCGAAAGTCGCACACCCAATAATAAAGTAAAAAGAAAAAAGAAAAAACAACAATAAAGCTCGTAACATGAGCATTCAATACGCATAAACAAAGAAAAATAGCGAAAAGTTCAGCAAAGTTTGATAGGATTTCAAATCAAGGCCATTGATCTTATTAGTATCAACTTCCTGCATAATTTTATTCAACATTCTAAATTAGTTTTTCCCAGTTCATAGACTGAATTTAAATCAATCAAAGAATGTACGAAACTACAAAGTCGATTTTCTTTGACTCCATGTCGCTGCAGGACTTGATTTCTTCACCGACGCCTACCGGGTGTCTACCTCCAGATGGGAGATCCTCGTCCACCAGTAAATCATGAGCTATAACACTGACAACAAGAACTAAATGAACGCTAAGATGGAATGACTTAACCAGAGTGTTTATTGCTTTTCAATTAGTATTTGCTACACAATTCGACAACAACTTTCTATATAGAGGAAACGAAGAATATTTCACCTGATTTTTCACTTCCTCTATATCCTCCAAGTTCAATGACTTAATAAGGCTTCAGAAGCCCACCTGTAAAGAGGTCAGGCCTCCTGAGAGCCAAGAGAATCAGCTCCAAAAGAGATTCCTAGATATCCTCCAGGGCGCCTATGTCAGCAAATGTCCACTGATTTCCTTAGTTGGGATGGTTTCTGGACGAATTCGCTTTTCGAACTCGTTATTTGGAATTACCTGATTTCACCAATCAACCCAAAAAAAAAGGATAAGTGATGTGTGAATTAATTGGAAAAGAAGATAATAAAAAGAGTTACGAATGGAGCAATGCTATTTGCATCACATACTAAAGCTAATAATCTGGCCGACAAAAATTTACCAATTATAAAGAAAAAACATATAGAGAAACTCGAAATGTAAGAAAGCTGGATAAGACTTACAGGAGTTATTGGGGCTCCTAAGACTTGCTTTCAGATCTATCGGTTTTTTGAGGCCTTTCCAAAATCTTCTACCTATCATGGTAGAATCACACAATCCCAAAAATATTTTTCAACTTAGTGTTCTTTTCTCTGTATATTTTTAACAAGAAATTTGAATAAACCTGCCTTTGGCATTTCACCAAGTACTTCAAGCTTAGGGTGACAGATTTACCTCTGAAATATACTCTAGCCATGGGACATGCTAATTCCAGAAAAAAAAAATGTTAAAAGGATATTTTAAAAAAAATGCATTCAGTTTAATATTTTTAAGTACACATTTACTGTTTACAAGCAGAATTATTCCGTAATGACTGAATGTAGTAAGCAATTATTTGGACTCGGCCTAAGTTCACTATTTCTTGCAATAAATTATAAAAAATCGAAGAAAAAAAAAGGTAAAACGGTGAAAAAAGTGAAGAGAGCGGGACAGTTGGTTCAGTTTGACTGTAAAATGTGCCAGGAAAAGATTGGCGGCAGTAAGGCAAACAACTTAAATACACACATCCATGTTAAGCTTCATAATTTGTACACATACATTGGCGGCAGTAAGGCAAACATACTTTTTAAAAAAATATTTGTATTCTCTTTGAGTGAGCTAGAGTCGTAAGATAAAATATAACATATAAATAGAACATAGTTCACCTCAGGGAAAAGAACATTAATACAGATTCCTTGATGTTTGAAAAGAGCAAGAGATCTGGTGAACATAACTACTCCCCATGCGAATTGGTTTATCATTAGTCAGAAAGAAGAGAAGTATGGTTACACATAGAAGTTAACCGATACACAAAGTTATACACCCCGAGTAATAATCACATTTGGAACTTTGTAGTTATAGTAATATATACATAAAAGAGAATGAAATTAATAATAAGAGTACAGGGCTGGCCATTTCACCCAGAACCATCCAACCAAAACCGCATACTTAAAGATAAGACACCCATGAAATGAACGTCAAATGGAAAACAAAAAGGAAAAGAAAGAGAACAAAAAGGTATAATCTTTAAGACATATACATAACTGACCAAAAAGATTACATAATAATCATTATGGCTCTGAGATATACTACGCGCATTCTCACAAAGCAATTCCTGTTATTGGGAAAAGAAAGAAGAATGAAAATGAAAAAAAAAAAAACAAACAATTTTCAAATCGTCCAGCTCAATAATAATTCAATGAGAACACGAACACTGTACTTTTTTTCGTTTTACGAAACATGAAACATTTTAAGATGATAACAGGCAAAGCGTAAGTTTTTCTCTTCTAAAAATATCATCTATCTCACAAGTATATGATCGTCAAATATTGAAAGCACTAGAAAGTCCATGCGTGTTAAAAAATTACACTTATCTTATTTAGGTACCTGCAGATCACTTCCCACGCGCCATAGCTCACGCGCTTCACGGTAGCGGCGCCTGCGGTGATTCTTCTCTTTCCAGAAGAGCTTGGGGACATAGAAGCACTTAAAACGTCGACAACAGCTTGGATGTGGGATCGCCAGTGAGGCGCTTGAGGTCGAGATAGTTGGCGGCATAGTTCGGGTGGCCGGAGGTGAAGTCGCAATTGGAGCTAGAGAAGGGTGCAAACCATGGAGAGACGGGTGGAGGGGGGAAGAGCTAGCCCTTGTAGAAACTAATTTTAGTCATTCAAAATCAATAAGCACACTCGTTCGAAACCATACTTTAGTAGTACGATAAGCTATGCATACAACGAAACTAAAAGAAATGAAAATGTGCATTCCAAATAGCATTTGCCTATGCATTTACCATTTTTCTACACAATGGCTGCGTTCAAATAGCAACACTCACTACGTTTCTTATTCACCATAACTAAACCAATTCTTGCTTTCTTAACCAATAAATTACCTCTTTAAGTACAAAGTTTTATCTAACCTACCCTCACATTCTGAAGCGGGCCAAACAAAACATCCAACAATTAGAGAAAAGTCAAAGGAAAGAAAACCCTAACAATTCATATGTTGTTACTATTCTTATTTTACCAAATAACCCAGACACAAAAAAAAAAAAAAAAAAAAAAAAAAAAAAAAAAAAAAAATCTCTAAATATACGCAAAAAAGTAGCACAACATACCTGGTGAATGTCGGTGTAATTGAACTATTCCTTGAGCAACTGGACGATTTTCTCAAGGTAAGTGGTCTTGAGTCAGCCGACTTTCTTTGCCTGGGTTTTTCCACCAGGACGATCGACGGCGTTGCTTTGAGGGAAAAGAGGCGGGTCCGACTGCCAGGGAAGTCAACGGAGGGCTGTTGGACGCTGAATCGGCTGTCAAATGACTTGGTGGCCGTGTTGTGGCGCTTTTGGCGGCCACAACCAATGGTGGCGGCTGCGGGTGGTGGGGGCTAGGTTTATATCACCGGAGTATATTTATTTTTTAGTTTTCATTTTGATCGGTGGCGAGTGATTCCATGGGTCCAGAGGGAGAATGTAGGGAAAGACAGAGAAATGAGGTCGAAGAGTGAATACTTTTTGGCTCAAAGAAAGTCATCAGTCTGTGTGCCTTGGGAATTGGGAGTTAGTGTGTGATAGGTGCAACCAAATTAAAATGACTTATACTAACCATAGAAAGTAGAAAATGTAGGGTTATTTAGGTGAATTACAACCTACAAGCAAAATAAACGGCGTCGTTTGCTTTGAAAATAAAAAATAAAATAAAAAAAAAAGGGTTCAAGTGTGGAAAAATGAAGAAAGTCATTAGCTCATCTCAATCCACCACAAACGTGCCACGTGTCAGTCATATATGGGCTCTTATTTTTTTCTTATAAGATAAGAGAGAAGAGAGATATGATAAGTATATTATTTTTCACATAAACTCATATAATTATATTAAAATAATAAATGTATTACTCTTTCTACTAATATTTCACCAACAAATTATACTCTTTTTACACTTTCGTATGACATTTTTCTAATTTAAATAAATTGAATGTGTGAAACATAAAAATTGGTAATTCTTGAAAAAGAGGTCCATATAAGATATGCTTAATGGAAAGAAAAAATATCAAAACTATTAGTATTGCGTCAATTATTAATGAAATACATGAGTAGAGAGAGCG